AAGTAGAACGAGTTACTCAAACAAACCGGGATGTTCACAAAAAGGGAACAAAAAACTGAAGAGGGGCAGACAGGCCCGAGGAATCCAGGGTCAGGTGAGGGCTGTGGAGAAACAGGACCGGGGCCAGTGGCAGGCACAGGCTGGCTCGGGGAAATCCAGGTGGAAGCAGGCTGGGGATCAGAGGTGGTGGCTCAGGAAAGGAAGGAAGGCAGGAAGGAAGGAGGAGAAGGTGGGAAGGAAGGAAGGAAGGAAGGAAGAAGGAGAAGGTGGGAAGGCAGGAAGGAAGGAAGGAAGGAAGGAAGGAAGGAAAGCAGGCAGGAAAAAAGGAAGGAAGGACGGAAGGAAGGAAGGAAGGAAGGAAGGAAGGAAAAAAGGAAGGAAGGAAGGCAGGCAAGAAGGAAGGAAGAAAGGAAGGAAGGAGGAGAAGGTGGGAAGGAAGGAAAGCAGGCAGGAAAAAAGGAAGGAAGGAAGAAGGAGAAGGTGGGAAGGAAGGAGGGAAGGAAGGAAGGAAAAAAGGAAGGAAGGAAGGCAGGCAAGAAGGAAGGAAGAAAGGAAGGAAGGAGGAGAAGGTGGGAAGGAAGGAAGGAAGGAAGGAAGGAAGGAAGGAAGGAAGGAGACAGAGCAGGGACCAGTGTAGGAACCATGAAGGATGGAGGTCTGTGGTCTGGCAGGATGTGGAGGAAGGAGCTGGTTTAAAGGAGCTGAGCTGATTGAGAGCAGGTGAGTCTGAAGGTGCAGCTGGCAGTGATTGTCCCTGATTGGCTGCTGAGAGGCACGAGCTGAGGCAGGAGCTGAGGCTGAGGACCAGAACCAGAACCAGGAGGGCTGGAGCAGGATCCTGACATCAGGGTTCATTTGGTCACTTTTATTCTGAAGGTCTCCTCTGCAGCTGTTTCTGTGAGTTCAGGGCGAGTCACTGTGTGAAAAGTCAAACCGCAGCAGTTTGAGTGTCAGCCGGAGCAGAACCGGTCGGACCGGACCGAGCCGTGACTCGCAGGCGGAACTGGTCGGACGGGTGCGAGGCTTCAGGTATAAACGGCAGCTCGGCAGCCCGTCGCTCAGACGGAGACGAGATGATTCAACTGCTGCTGCTGGTGGGGTTCGTGCTCGGAGGTTACTTCCTCCTGGTCAGCACCCTGTTCAGGAGGTCCACATGTAAAGGGAACGCCGGGATGGCCGGGAAGACCGTCATCATCACAGGTCAGAACCAGAACTTTCACAGAGCTCAGATCCAGGAGGGTTCAGATCAGAGGTTTGAACCAACAGAGAAACTTGCGTCCATCATGAGTTCAAAGTAGAAAGAGAGAAATCGAAGGCAGACGTGTTGGACGGTGGAGCTGCAGGAGTTTGTTGATCAGGGTTAAAGCAGCTGGAGGCATGGACGAACAGAAAACTGTCAGAGAGAACATAAAAGGGTTCATGGAGGTAAAAAAAAAAGAGATTTTTGAAACAGCAGCAAACATGAAGCTGATCTGGACGTCACAGGTTCACCGACAATGACAACTAGTTCAATAAAATGCAGATCTGTTTAAAAAGCAGCTTCATGACACCAACACAAGGTTTTAATGACTGCTGTGTGCTGAACTGAAAAATAACCAAAAAATCCAGATGTTCTCTAAAACGAGTTCCTCACCAACAGAAATAAAACGTTTTCTAAACAGCAGCAGAAACTTCTGGACGTTAAACATTTAATATAAAACTATAAAAATACAGAAAACGTTAAAAGAACCAATCTGTGCTTTAGGACGAGTGAAGAAGGTTTTAAAATATAAAATAATGACAATGACAAAAGAGAATTCTCTATGAAACAACAGCAGCTGTACGATCTGATCAGAACCGAAAACCCAACGTGTGTGTAGATAAATATCAGCTGGACTTCTGCAATTAACTATTTAATACTAGTTTGTTTGTTTTCTGCTGCAGCAGCGTCGATCTTCGTGTTTTTCTCGGTGATGTTTGAGGATTTTTATTTACCTAAAGACAGAAAGACTCACGAGTGATTTAATCCGGAGCTTCATGGAACAGAACCACTGAACTGGACCCGTATTCAGAGTTCTCTGTCAGAGTTCGAGCTGAGGAGCTGCTGGTGACGGTTCTTCATGTTTAGTTTTTATAGTAACGTTTAATTAACGTTTTCAGCAACAGAAAACCTCTTTAAAGTCACAACTAGAGTAAATAAAACATTTCAGACGGTGTGTAGCAGCCAAACAGCAGCTGATGAAATAAAACGATTTAGATTAAATCTCCGTTTATCATATGAGTCCTGTTACGTCCTGACAGTTGCTTTGTTTGTTTGTTTATTGTTGTTATTTTATTTGTTTGTTCTTGTATTTGAGTCGTTAACTTTAACTTAAAGACGACACATGGAAGGATTCACAACAGGATTTATTCTGTGTGCTCTGATTGTTTTTTAGACCATAGGTTAGTTACTGACCCGGTCCATTGAGCTGCTGCTTCGGTTCTGGGTGAATGTTTCGGATCAGTATCACAGCGATCACGTGTTCGCTGCACAAGCTGAAGTCATGACGTTTACTGAATGAGCAGATGATGATTGTGACCACAGCAGGCTGGTTGTTTCATGTCGAGCCGTGTTGTGCATCCGCAGGAGGAAACACCGGCATCGGCAAAGCCACGGCGTTGCATCTGGCCCGGAGGGGGGGCCGAGTGATCCTGGCCTGCAGGAACCGAGACAAGGCTGCAGCCGCCATCACAGAGATCCAGCAGGTACAGAACCATCCATCATCTCTACACCTTAATCCTCACTAGGGGGCTGGAGTCTATCCCAGCTGACTCAGGGTGAAGGCAGGTTCACCTGGACAGGTCACTAGTCTATCACAGGGCTACACTTAGAGACAGACAACCAAGCACACTCACATTCACACCTACGGACAATTTAGAATCACCAGTTAACCTCAGCATGTTTCTGGACTGTGGGAGGAAGCCGGAGAACCCAGAGAGAACTCACGCTGCACGGGGAGAACATGGAGACTCCACGCAGAAAGATCCCGGCTGTCCTCACCGGGACGGAACCGGCTGCAGATACATCACATATAAACATGTATGTGAGTAAACATGAGGGACAAACGGATCATGTCTGTCTGTGGAACAGCTCTGTAGTGCTGCAGTGAAGACGTCTCAGACTCAGCAGGAGTCAAAGGTCACTCTTGAGCTTCAGCAGAAACCAGTCAGACAATGGTTCTGGTTGAGCTGGAAGCAACTGACGACCTTTGACCCGTCTCTGCTGAGCAGGACCAGCTGAATGCTGGTGAAACCGGGAGGTCTCAGACAGCAGCTCCAGTGATTGTGTCTCTGCTGCTGGTTTGCACAACAAAGGAGGTGATGAGGAGGAGCTCAGTACGTTCACCAGGACGGAACCTCTGCTTCTAAAACCAGCTTCTGCTCCACCGGCGCTGATCCGCTGAAACGCTTACAGCATAAAACATGAACATTTATAAAGATGAAGACGTCAAATTCTCTTCTAATGTCCACCCTGAGCAGCTTTTTTCTGAGTTGAGGCTGTTTGAACGACAACATCTGATAAAAACCTGAAACATTCGCTCTTGTTTCTCGTCGTGTCGTTGATTCTGTCGATTGGATCCAATAATCTGAGTTAAGTATGAGCAGCAGTCCTGAACACGTGTCCATCTGTGGTTCTGATGAAGTTCTGAGGTTCAGAAATGATGGAAAAAGTCCATTAAAGTGATCAGTCTGGACCCTCCTCTGTGGACTTCAAGGACCTGGAACTCTGGAACATTCACAGTCTGAAGTTAGAACTCTGGTCAGTAGATAAAGGTTCTGCAGAACCAGAACCAGGTGTTCTGATTCTGATTTTATTGGACTAAACAAGTCGAGTGTCAGTTTCGGTTTTCCAGTGAAGCTGTGCTGATCAGTCTGAGAAGCAACACCTGTAAATAAAGACAGTCATGAAACCGTTACCTTCAGATTCTGGTTCTGTTTCCAGGAAACGGGGAACTCAGAGGTTCTGTACATGCAGCTGGACCTGGCCAGTCTGAAGTCTGTTCGCTGCTTTGCTGAAACGTTCCTCAAAGCCGAGTCCAGACTGGACCTGCTGATCAACAACGCAGGTAAACACACACACACACCTACACTTACACACACCTACACTTACACACACCTACACACACCTACACTTACACACACCTACACACACCTACACTTACACACACCTACACACACCTACACTTACACACACTTACACACACCTACACACACCTACACTTACACACACCTACACACACCTACACTTACACACACCTACACACACCTACACACACTCGCACACACACCTACACTTACACACGCTCTCACTTCTAGTTTCCTGTGACTCCAGATGATCACAAATGTTAATTATTTTTTAACTTTTTTTATTTTTTATTTTTTTTTAACTTTGCCTTAAAGGTAATGATTCTTTTAAACATCTGTGTTTTATTTGTCTCTTTATGAACTCTCACGTTTTGTTAAATACAAAACAACCAATAAAATGGGTTTTAAAGGTTTTAAAGGTCTCTGAGACAAACTGGGATTTAATTTCAGTTTACCATTTCTTTTTATTCCATTGCTCGGTCCGTGTGACTCTGACTCTGTCTGTCGGCAGGTCTGGTGGCGGACGGACGGACCGAGGACGGCTTCGGCATCGAGTTCGGCGTGAACCATCTGGGCCACTACCTGCTGACCGTCCTGCTGCTGCCGCGGCTGAAGGAGTCCGGAGGAGGCCGGGTGGTGACGCTGAGCTCCATGGCTCATCGGTGGGGAACCGTTGACTGTGAGGTCAGTCCACGTCTGGAAACAGGGAAAGAGGTTCTGGTTTCAGGAGCAGCAGAACTCTAGAAACCTCAAATCTGTTCAGGACAAAGACGCTGAACCGAACAAAAGAATAAAAAACTTATTTAAAATGAGTTTAGAGATTTAATCTGGTGGAAGCACAGAAACAAGTTTTAATCGACATTTAAACTGGAAAGAAAAAAAGCAAACTAAAAACATCAAATCTGTGTTTTTACTGATTCATACTTTCACGTTTGACCTTAAAATTACATTTAAATCAGCAAAATCCGTCATTATTTACACACATTTTCCATCACTTTCAAGAAAACTTTTGTCCATTAAGAAAAAGTCAAATTGTTTTGTTTTAAAAAAATTCTTTGAAATGAAATTTCACAGATTT